CATCCCGTGCAGAAGGATCCTCTGGCCACTGGGGAGCTTCAAAACAAGAAGTGAATGCAATATTCTGGTGAGAAAGTAGGAAGGAAAGCCATCCTTACTGCAAAAACTCCATTTTAATACCGACACATTGCACCGAGGAGGAGCAGGGTGGTGGGTACAGACACGTGGTTCAGGGTCACAGAGCACCACTTGGGCTGCTCCCTGTGAGCTAAGCACAACGGCACACCTAGGTCAGAGCTCCTCTTTCTTTGCTCTGCTCTCCTTTTTGCCAGGCATGGGGAGGAGAGAGCTCCGTTATTTCTGCATGGATGCAAGGTGAATGAGGCTGTCGCTTCTCATTGCAGTGCTATTTATTTCAGGTCGCTGACATAATGCAGCTTTTATTTTTTTAACCCCTCTCCCTCCAATGCAAAAAAAAAAAAAGTCCACCAAAAATAAAAATAAAAAAAGGCAGAGGGGAGTAGGAGAGCCCTTCAGCACTGTCTCACTCACTGGCTCCTTGGAAGGGAACTCATCAGCCTATGAGCAGGTTTTAGTTGCTTACACAGTGCTCTGACAGCCCCGATGCATCAGCTGGCTTTCAGAGGCCTCCTGCTGAAGAATGCAAGTTGTTACTCTGTCATTAGGTGGCTTAGGAGTAGTAATAAAAGAAAGGAATGAGCACTGGGGAACAACGTTGCAATATTAGCAGGTGGTGGTGACAAAAAGGGAAATTCCTCCCAAAATCGGAGGGAAGCACTGTGAGCTTACTCCTGCACAGGGATGGGAAATGGAGACAAGACATTGAGCTCGGCATCCCGTGGCCACAGGAAGTCACCAGAACCTGTCTGCATTCACATCTCTTGCAAATAGGACTTGGGGGTGGGACAGGACTTGGAAAACACCAAGGGATGCTTGGAGGAAACTATGTCCTGAAGTGGATCTTGTCACAGATCTTACAGCAGCAGTGAGGCATAGGCTGCTTTGTGGCCTGGGCTCTCTTCACCATTCCGGCTCCAAAGCTCCCCAGCACACCTCTGCTTGCCCTTGCTCTGCTTCCTACCGCTGTCTTTGGTCCAGGGGCCACCAAAGGAGGACCAACACTAGGAATCATATCCAGAAAGTTGCCTTTTCCGCAATGAATATTCAAAGCCCCAGTTACAAGACTGCTGAATTTCGCATGCAAACAGACAGTTATGCATCTAACTGACCATTTGTGAGAGCAATTACACACGCAATTACCTGATTGCATAACTGGGTGGGCCTAATTCTCAAATTGGATCGTACATTTTCTGTTCAACACAAATGCTGTTTTAATAAATAGATATTGACTGCTTTTGTAGCAAAATCATCCATACCTACCAACTCAAAACCAAATACTGACAAAATATGCTCAAGTGCATATTTGCCCAAAGAGCACTGGCACGAAGCAGAGCATTCCAACAAGAACTGAGCCACAGGTACCTGCAGAAGCTTCCACATCCCTGCGACCACCAGCACAAAATACAACCAATGCAGGCACACGTACCCGTACACGTGGGCCAGGTATCATCAATCAAACACCAGGAAGTTTCTTACTGTGGGCTATTAAGAATTGTCCACGGGTACTTTTGCTGCTTAGTTGAGGAAAGAAATGCAAGGAACATTCCGCATATTAAAGGAAACCTCCCATCAACAAGGGCGTCAGCAGCTCACAAGTGTTATCTCAGCAGACGGACCCTGATGATGAGGCAAAAATCGGGCTCTGAATGATCAGCTGTCCTACTTTTTAATCGCATATTATCCACCCCAGGCCTTCACATCACTGACCTCCAAGGAAAGGCATCCACACAAACTCTGTTACCCCCAAGTATCTTCAGCCAATGCAAGGAATACTTTCCATTTATGGAATATTTCCAAAGACCCTCATTTTTCTCACGAATGTCACCCACAGTCTCTATTTACATGCCAGCCTAATGCTCCATAAGATCAGCTGTCAGAGCCCCACGTCTTGGCCAAACATCAATTTTCTGTGTGGATGATGCATTAACTTTAAGGCGCTCACTGCTACTGCAGGCAAAGCAATATAGCAATTACGAGGTTATTTCTGACTTACAAATCCATAAGTAATCACAAGGCTGGAAGCCTCAAGTTGGTAGGAAAGAAAGGAAGCAGAGCGTTAAACACAAAGACCTGGTGGTAATCGGCAGCTCCCTGGCGGTGCTGTCAGGGAAAGGTAAAGCGGTGCCCAGTGTCACAACCCTCCAACCACGAGTGCTGGTGGCAGCCTGGAAGCAAAACAGCCTTAATGCTCCTCAGCCTGTGCTTAACCACTTAAATGCTTTTTTGCTCCTTGTTTCTGCCTGCCTTCAGCACGAAGGAGGCTACTGAAGTTGACAGCAAAAGTTTGGCAGCGTCAAAGGGCACCCACCTGGTAACTGCTCTGCTGCAGCATGAGGCACAACCCATATATTTTAATGCCTTAACCACACGTCAGGGCAGCAGGCAGAGCACAGGTATCAGACCCTTCATAAACCCACATTTCCACCTCCAAAGCCACCAGGACCTTTGCCAGACACTGAAAAGCCACGAGACACTCAGCCCCAGCACTAAATCTTGCTGAGGAGCTAAGAGTGGGTTTCAAACCCACAATTCTTGGATTCTCATTTCTTGAACGAAGGGGCTCTGACTTCACCCTGCACACAGAGCAGGCAGAGATGCTTTTCCCTCTTTACGCTAAGCTGAGATTCACAACCCTGGGATCTCAGGAGAAAATTAACAGCGAGTCATTTGCTGCCAACATCGCCGAGTGAACCTATTTGTAAATCTTCCCAAACAAGAAAGAAAAAAAAAAATAAAGAAAGGAAGAAAAAAGAACAAGCACAAAAAAGTGAATTCTCCTCCTGTCCCCAGTCTTTTGTTACAACAGGAATGCAGATGCTCACCGAGGGCTATTTAGGGAGCTGTGTCAGTGAAGGCTCAGGCTGCACACTAAGAGCCCTGGGCAGCCAGAAGCGTGCAGTGCAGATCTGGCTTGGGTTCCTTGCTGACATGTTGGACCAAGGGGCAGAAAACGTAAAGCATCGCCGCTGCTGTTTCAATTTGGAACACAGGCAACTTTCAAACAAAGCACCCATATACATTATTTTGGCCTTCTTTCTAGCCAATTCCGTGGCTTTTTCCATATGTCCTCTGAGCATTATTAATAGCCACCAAAGAATACTATCTGCCTACCAATCACTTCTGCTTCCCACTCAATGGCAAGTACATTTTTAGAGCATCAAATATACCAACAGGGACAATGGTTGCTAAATTTGAAATCAACAACAACTGGAAAACGCCAACTACTTTGCTGATATTTTCACACTACAGAAATATCTCACAAAATAAATGAGCCTTTTTTTTTTTTACCCTTTCAAAGAGATAATAAAATAATGCTGAATTCTAAATACTGTCACATACCCTCAGCAAACAGCAATTTAAATTTAGATATATACATTCTTGCTGCCAAAGATAATGAGCAAAAATATCCACAGTGTGGCTTTGCAGAGCGGAGCAGAGGTGGGGAGGGGGAGCTGGGGCAGCACGGCCAATAAGGTCACCAGTTCACTGTGGATACTGGGAATGGATCAGCACAAAGTAACTCAGAACAGATATTACGTCAGCCTTGTAGTATTACTGAAGGTCATGCCAACCCATGCCACGTAAACTTTTATGCTTAAAATGCTTGCCACTTCATTTAGATGAATGGAAATGGAACATTAGGATGTACTGCAGTAAGTATGATGGTTTTCCTTCCTGGAAATCCCAAAGGTCCCAACTCTGCCTCTGCACTCATAGAGCCTGGGGCTCTGCCAACTTCTTCGTAAGCCAGCTGTATTCACAAGGGGTTACATGGGGGCTTTTTTCTTTGACATCTCTCTGGTGTTTCTGGGAGGCATCTTCCCAAGACCCAGCTGGAGGAGCAGGCAGGCATCCAACCTGTGAGGAGAGCACAGGATGCACTGCTGGTTTATTAGGGAAGGTTTAAGAAAGATTAAGCTGTAAGCACCCATTTGGGTGCTGTATGTCCAGCTATACAGGCACCAGGAGGCACAGGAAACAAGCACAAATTCAGTGTATTTTAGGAATCTCTGTCGCTGACCTTACAGAAAGCCCGTGTGATGACTGAACACCTTTTATAGCTCAGATAACAACTGCATCCACTAAAACTCCGCAGCTTACTTTCAAGCCTTTATTTTTCAATACTTTATTTGCCCATCTATTCCTATGGCAGGGGCAGGATTTGATAGGCTTCAGAGGCAGAAACAAAGAATATTAATAATACAATATAGCCAGAAAGCAGGAATAAGCCTCGACATTCTTACAGCCTGAATTGCTACTCCTCATCACCTTTATATTGGTGCTATTCTCACAGCTCATATGGTACGTGCTCCTGGTATTTGCGTTACAGATTTGGCTGCCCCTACACGTGCTAATGCTGCCGTACCACCGATGCACCCACCAACACACAGCAGCCCCAGTGCCTGCAGCGGGACAAGTTTTCCCGGCAGATCCGTTAAAACCCAGGTTTATATATAGCAGCAGCTGCTCCGAAGCTTCAGGAGCTCGGCATGTGCCCGGTGCCCAGCGACACTGCCCACCTCCGGGGAGCCGCGGCCGCTCACCCCTCCATCGCTCCGAGTTACCGCACGGCACGGCGCGTCCCTCCGGCAGCTCGGCGGGCTCCGGCCCCGCTGCCGCCGCGGGGAGCTCCGGGGGGCTGCTGCCACCTACAGCTGCTGCCACGGCACGGCCCCGAAGCAGGGCCACCACCTGCTTTGCACCCTGCCCCGCCACGCCGACGTGCCGCCGATGGGTCCGCTTGCTACGTGCGGCCGAACTCACCGTGGTTTGGTTTTCAATCTGCTTATCTCGAAAAAAAAAAAAAAAAAACAAAAAACAAAACACCACAGCAATTCTAATATCGCCCAAAAACCAGAGGGGAGCTTTGATCCCGAGGGCGGACAGGGCAAGGGCTTCTCCCTAGGCCGGCTGCTTACCCACGGGCACGTATTTCACATCCTTAATACTGTTCTCACGTTAACCAGCAGCACAGTTCTCAGTGCCAGCATCCACACACGCATACACCCAACTCTTTACAAAAAGAAAACGAGTCACAGCATTCACCGGGCACCACGGGGGCTGCGACCAGGACGGGAACGCCGGGTCCACTCCCCCGGGACACCTGGGGACAGCGGGAGCCCAGAGCCGGGCACGTCAACGCAGGGACAGAGCAGCGCGGCGGCAGCTCCGTGCTTCTCGTGCCTTCGCGGAGGCTCTCGGAGCTCAGCCTAATTTTAGGCAGCGGGCAGACATCGCGGCGGACGGACGGGAGAAGTGCCAGCGGGGCGCGGCGAGGGGGGACGCTGCCATAACCGGCACCGACCGAAGACGAGCGGGGGCACGAAGTCAACCCCGCACACCTCGCCGGGAGCGGAATCCTCGCTACGGGGAGAGGGGGAGAAACAAAACGGCGTGTGAAGAGCTGCCGCGTACCCGGAGCGGCTCTCAGGCAATCCGGCGGCGGTGCCCGAACGCCCCGCCCGGGTACGTGGATAGCGGCGGGTCGGGTCGCCCGGCGATCCCCGAGCAGAACAAAGGCTCCCAGGTTGGCAGCTCCACGTGACGCGGCGGAGCCCCGCGCCGCGAACATCGCCGCACGAAAACATCGCGGAGCCTCGATGCGTCCGCGCTGCCGGCAAAGGGCGCGGGATGAGGAGAGCAAAAGTTTGGGCGACGGTATCGCCGTCCCCACGGGAACGCTGGGAGCGAGGAAGGAGGCCAAGCCCCGTCCGCAGGGCACCGAGAGCCCGAACTGCCGGCACCCAGATTCGGGGACGGGAACCCTAAAACGCTCTCACCCTGAACGCGCACCTGCAGTGCCCTCTGAGCGAGCGCTAACCAACACGAGGCCGGCCCCCCGCGCTGCCATCGCCCGCTGCGCTCAAGGGTCACACCGAGCCTCAGCTTTACGAACGGGGCGGCCCCAGCTCGGGGGGACAGATCGACTGCGGGATGGGAAGCGTTGGGAAAGGAGAAAGGCAGGAGAAGAGGGAGAACGCGGAGAGCGATAGGGATTGAGGCGGTCGGGGCACGCAGCACTCCTCCCACAGGGCTGCCCCGCTCGGCGCTGCAGGGAATGGGACCCGGGAGGTGCGCGGAGCGGAGCGGCTCTTCGCCCGCCGCTGCCGGGGATGGGAAGCGCTGACGGGCGCCGAAGTGCAGCGCGCAGAGCGGGACGCTCCGCCGCTCCCGGCCCCAACGCCGTTACATAAAGCCCTGAGAGGCGCCCGGCCGCGGGCACGGCGCGCCGTCGCTCTCCCGAACGCCTCCAAATCCCCACATCGCGGCGCCCCGCAACTTCCTCGCGGCTCCGAGCCGCGCTCCCCTCGCGCCGCCGGGGCTCCCGCCCAACTTCCCGGCCCGCCCGGCCGCACACCCACCTGCCTGAGCCGCGGCAGCCCTCGGGGCGCCGGCCGCCGCCACCAGCACGCAGCAGCTCCACCACAGCAGCCCCCCGGCCGCCGCCGGCATCGCGCCGCCGCCGCTGCCGCCTCCTCTTCCTTCTCCTCCTCCTCAGCGCCGCCGCCTCAACGCCGGTTCCGCCGCCGCCATCCCCCGCGCGGGCTCCGCGGGGCCGCCCCGAAGTTGCCTCCGCGCCGCCGCCGCCCCCAGCGCCGCCCCCGCGCGGCCCGACGGGGCGGCCGCGGGGTGCGCCCACTGCACGCGGAGCGGAGCGCCGAGCGCCGGCAGCGGCGGCACCGCCGGGGGAGCGGCGGGAGGAGGAGCGGCGCGAGGCGGGTCCGCCCGCCCCCCCGGCCCGTCCCGCACCTGCGGAGAGGGGGCGGGAAAAAGCTCGGCAAAAGGAGCCGCGCGCCGCGCTTCGCAAAAACCGCGGGCAGGTGCGCGCGTGAGGCTGCGCGCGCGTCCGCCGTGCCTGCAAAAAGCGGCCGGTCGGCGGGGTGTGTGCCGAAAGCAAACTTTCCCCGCGCGGATAGCCGCGAGCGTGGGGAGCCTCCGAAGGCGGCGGAAGGCCGCGGTGATTGGGCGGCGGCGGCCCGGAGGGACCGACGTCGTCCCGAAGCGCCGCGGGGTTGCGGCACGTTGAGGCCCCGCGCGGCGCGTCCTGAGCCCTGAGAGAATCCACCCGGCCCCGCTGCCCTCCCGGCCCCGCAGCGTTCGCGGTGCGGTGTAACGTTGAGCAACAGTGGCATCCGGTGGGCAGCGCGCTGCCTCCGTGCCGGTTGTGGGGGTGCGCGTTGAGCATCGCTGCTGCGCTTTTAGGGGGCTTTGCCATCCCAAACTCGCACGCTCCTGTCTGGAATATTCCCCCCCCCCCCCCCCCCCCCCCCCCCGCTCCCCGTCCCCAAATACATGCCCTGTATGGGACGGTGGAATTCTTTTTCCTGATGTCGTATTTTCCCTGAGAGGATGAATTAGGAAGAGGCCATAAATGATTTCCGAGACCAATTAATAAAAACGAAGTAATAATTGAGCAGTGCATTTAAATACGTATGCCTAAGGTCCAACTCCGTATTTCACCGAGGGCAGCCGGGTTCTGTCTACCCCAGAGGAACAGCAGCAAAGAGCGGGACGGGGAATACAGCAAGTGATGGGGAAACATCAGCACGTGCACGGGGGGGAGGTGGGGGGCAGAGCTCAAAGCTGCCCACGCTGTTCTCAGCTCTGGGGACAGGCGGGCACCTCGCTCCCTGCATGCCCACAGAGCACCCCTGAGCCTTAACCCAATTAGCCCCCAAGCTAATTGCCTCTGTGTCAGGCGGCGGTTGGGGTTGCTGCGGTTTGGGCTGCAAAGCATAGCTTCCCCTTGCTCCTATTCCGTGCCCACTGCCGGGGAGCACTCGCACAAGATGCTGCCTCTGGGGAGGGAGAGCACTGCACAAACACCCTGCTTTCCAAATCCCTCGCACTTCAGGCACACAGCACCGTTGGACCACGGCAGCAGAGGGAAAATGCTGCACTGGGCTGTGTGTGCAAGTATGAAGCACCTCCCGAGGTGTTTTCTGAGTACATCTGTATCACACATAACAGCAGTTAGGTCAGGGCATCTCTCAGCACTCCATGAAATGCCAAACAGGCAGAGATGGCCACGCTGGCAGCCCCCAGAGGAGGAGGAGGGCTCCTGCTCAGCGCTGGGCTGCAGGAGGACCTGTAAAGCACAGTAACAAATTGTTTGGCTGAGAACATGGGAGAGAACTCGTGCCTTTCACGGCTGTGTCATCCAGCACTGCAGGCATGGGCCAGCTGCAGGGACAGAAGCACTTGGTGTCAGCCTCCTACAGCAGAAGGGCTGCTCAGAGGGCAGCACGTGTGGGAGCATCATGCATGGCAAGCAGCTGAAACACCCTGCATGGCTCTACAGAATCATAGAATGGTTTGAGTTGGAAGGAACCCTTAAAAGCCATGTAGTCCAACTCCCCTGCAAGGAACAGGGACACCTACAGCTCCATCAGGTGCACAAAGCCCTGTCCAGTCTGACCTCGAATGTCCAGGGATGGGGCATCACCATCTCTCTGGGCAGTCTGTGCCAGTGCCTCACCACTCTTATTCTAAACAACTTCTTCCTCATATTCAATCTAAATCTCCCCACCTCGTGTTTGAAACCATTTTCCCTTGTCCTGTCACAGCAGAACCTACTAGAGAGTCCGTCCCCTTCTTTTGTATAAGCCCCTCCTTGAGATGCTCTCAGGTCTCCCCAGAGCCATGCCCAGCTCTCAGCCTATACTCACAGCAGAGTTGTTCCATCTCTACGAGCATTTTTGTGGCCCTCTTCTGGACACACTCCACCAGGTCCACACCTCTCCTGTACTGAGGACTCTGCATTCAGCTGCTGACCCCATAGCCAAGGTCAGGGTCCTACAACAGGAGCAGTGTGGAGATGAGCTGTTCTTGCAAGACTCGGGGCTGATATCATCACCCAGGGATGAGCAGCACGGGCTGTGAAGCGTGAGCTCAGCCACCCGCAGCAGCCAGCCCATCTGGCACCAACAGCAGGGCCATTGTGGGGTGCTGCAACACAGGGGGGTCTGTCTGTTTTTGCAGTTACTGTTTGGGGTGGAGGAGAAAAATCCCCTGGAGCATGAGGTGTGTGCCGGGAACTTGATGAGTCCAGCCACTTAGACTGCGGAAAAAATTAGGCTATATGCATGAAATTTCAAAAATAGTAGGTAGAAAATACAATGCAAGGACTTAATAACCATATTTTCTGGAACTAAGGGCTCAGCTCAAGAAAGCCTTTTAGGCCACGCTTCATTTTCAGTGCTGTTTGTGTCTCACTCATAACAAAAAGATTCAAGTGCTCTCACTTTAAGGAGACCCAGAGTGGGGCTATGAGATCCTCTCCAACTTAGGCACCATATTATTCCTTTAGGGCTCCTGACCCCTTGGGCACCCTGCCTTTCCGAAGGCCTCACTTACATCCCACAGCTCTCTCTTACGGCTCCCGGCTCCTTGCCTCTAGATAAGATGCAGTGATATTTTTCCTTCTCCATGTACAGGAGGGCAGGTGTGCTGGTGTTTCCTCGCACCAGAGTCAAATACAGCATCCACACACAACATCTGCTCAGCCAGACCTCTCACCTATCCTTCTCTCCCTCCTCAACCCTTCCTTGTTCGTTATCTTGATGGTGGGTCTCTGTGCTCCTCTCGTGCCTGCAGGCTCCTTGCTGCTCAATGATTTCCTGCCATATTTCATGTCTTCCCCGAGCCTCTTCCCAACTGGCTTTGAATAGAGTGCAGCAAAGACAGTACAAAGGTCACCTACTTGACACAGAAGAGTTCCTTCTCCCTCACAAATTGGATTGTACTTCAGTCCAGTCTCAATATATCACTACTCAAGAGATGCATTGCAAACATGTCAACATACTAATGGCATTGTATTTGATCATGGGCACCTCCATTTTGCAAGACGACTGAAGTCAACACGGGCTGCAGTTCAGTGTTTTGCAATCCTGCTGCTGTCCATAACAGAGCTGAGATTTCTGCCCAGGGTCAAAGCACCATTGTTTTCAGTGCACTCAGAGCTCCATCTGGATAACTTTAAGGTGAGGGGACTAAAAGGATATTCACCCATTCCCCAAATTATATTTGAAGTTTCCAGTCAC